ACCTTTTCCTTGCTAGTGTCACCTCCGTGACAATGTTTACTGTTAAAAGCTGTTAAAATTGTTATTATTATTATTATTATTATTATTATTATTATTATTATTATTATAATAATAATAATAATAATAATAATAATAATAATAACAAACCTTAAATGTAAATGTGCACTTTTTAATGAACTAAAGGATGCACAGAAAAGATACAAAAGACAAATAAAGTATAGTATAGTACTGTACTATGCTGTTTTTTTGTTTTTTTTTTTGTTGTTATTTTTATTTTTTTCTGACAGCAGGTCGTGTTTGAGAAAAGAAAGCGTACAGACCGCAGCGGCTGTGCCTCTTGAGTTTCGAGGAGGATTGGGACGAGGCCCAGAGCTCTAGGCTCAAACTTAGGGAAAGGGTCTAGCTGTTGCCAAGTGCCTCCTGAGGTGAGTCTATCAGAGGCAGTCAAGCCTGAAATCAATCACTCAAACCCATCAAAGGCCGTCCTACCCGTCCATTGTGAAGCAGCCATCTGGGCCTCGTCTTACTTTTTTCCATGTGTGTGTGTGTTTGTGTGCGTGTGTGGTGTCCTCATAAAAAAAGGATATCTTTGAATATGAAGTCTGTAACTATTCGTACCATAATAGCAGAGGAGATCATTCCTATTACACATATATTACACATTTGAAGCTATTTACAAGGGAAAGAAGTTCATTCACTCATTCACTCATTCATTCAACCCCCCCCTCTCTCTCTACACACACACACCCTCTCCATCTCTCTGTGCACTCCGTCTAAGAGTCTGTCAAAGCCACCATCGGAGGGCAGTAGAACACAGAGCATCCCTCTCCGCAGCTGTACGGTTGGCACTCCTGCTCTCTGCCCAGGTCCCTCACCGCTCACTGGGCACCGTGGTGAGAGCCCGAGCACTACAGCCTGATTTTGAGGGGAAAAAAAAGATCAGTGATAAGGATAAATCTAAAGACAATCTCGGGTCTTGATGCACTTTCCTCAGTCTGCTGTAACAGAACAAAGACTAATCATGTATGTGGAGTAGATTATTAGGAGGGGAAAAAAAACAATCTATAATACAGTACATATATCACCATGCAGGCTATCTCATCTCCGAATCTTTTGGGTATAATAACATAGTAACTCAGCAATTCTTTTTTTTTATTCTTTTTTTTCCCCCTTCTTCATAATTTATGCAAAGGTCTTCGTTTTCCATCTGAATCTGCATTTTTATGGTATTTCCTACCGCTCCGAGTGCAATCACGATACGCTAATTTTATGACCGATTATGTTCTCCGGAATGACATTTGCAGAGATCAAAGAGCAATTTAAGCTATTACTGCATGAACATAACACAGTGGAGGTATTAGCAGTTTATGACTTCCTGCCGAATTTAATACAGACAATCTTCCTACAACTGCACAAAAATGACCTCACATGCTGCATAAAGTATCTCTCTCTCTCTCTCTCTCACACACACACACACACACACACACACACACACACACACACACACACACACACACACACACACACACACACACACACACACACAGCCCTGATCCGTGATTCAATAAGCCCTTTCTCTCTCACTCTGGCTAGACAATCAGTCGTCTTAATACCTACTCTCACAATCCCTTCATCTGCATGGGGATGATATTCTGTCATTGCACAAATTGAGATTTAAAGCCGAGTTTATCTCATTCCGAATCGTATTACTGTACACGGATAACGTCCCACAACCTCCGTCTCTGCCCCTTTATGGGATCATATCCATATTTTATTCAGGAAATCTAATTTTGGAAAGATGTTCTATTTAGTATGCCTCATTAAGTGGGCCAATGATCCTGGTGTGCCCTTTCTTTTGTCTTTATAGGGGGAACAAAAAAAAAAAGTTTCAGTGTAATACACTTCTGCTGATATTCATATGTCGTGTGGTCATCTTATTTATATATTTATTACACACACATAGCGTCTATTTATTTATGTATTTATTTATTTATCTATTTATTTATTTAATAAACTACTTCATGCAATAATAAAAAGTGACAGAATCAAAAAAATGTGTGATTTCATAATTCCATTTTCAACACTTTATTTTTGTTTCTTATTTATTTAAATATTTATTTATAAATATTGATATATTTTAGATTCATATGACCATAACCATGGCCATTAGATTCATAACGATATCCCTAAACATTCTTTATTATTATTATTATTATTATTATTATTATTATTATTATTATTATTATTATTATTATTATTATTATTATTGTTGTTGTTATAGTTTATTTTTTAAAATTATTGTTGTTATAGTTTATAGTATATTATTATAGTGGTATTGTTGTCAACAATACCACTACCACCACCACCACCAACAACAACAACAACAACAACAACACCAATAATAATAATAATAATAATAATAATAATAACAATAATAACAATAATAATAATAATAATAATAATAATAATAATAATAATAATAATAATAATAATAATAATATTAACTAATTTACATATTTATTGCAGGGTATAAGACACCTTATCATATAAGTTAAGCTGGAATTTGTCTGTAA